AATATTTTAAAACTCTCTACATCATACTAAGACAAACTTGAAAGTGTACTTATTTATGTGTAATTTGTGTGTGTGTGTGTGTGTGTTTATACCTGCAGTGTAACTTGTGTGTGTGGGTTTGTACCTGCAGTGTAACTTGTGTGTGTGGGTTTGTACCTGCAGTGTAACTTGTGTGTGTGTGTTTATACCTGCAGTGTAACTGGTGTGTGTGTGTTTATACCTGCAGTGTAACTGGTGTGTGTGTGTTTATACCTGCAGTGTAACTGGTGTGTGGGTTTATACCTGCAGTGTAACTGGTGTGTGTGTGTGTTTATACCTGCAGTGTAACTGGTGTGTGTGTGTGTGTGTGTGTGTAACTGGTGTGTGTGTGTGTTTATACCTGCAGTGTAACTGGTGTGTGGGTTTGTAGTTCTCCCCCATCTTATCTGTAGTTCATCTGTAATTGTTCTCTTTTTTTTCTGTCCTGTAAGGTCGTTCAAACTGAAGACGAAGCGAGACTGACGTAGGAACTCGCGCTAGGAAAGCAACAATTTAGTGTTATTACTAAACTACATTACCGTTATACTGTACAAGTTTGTGAATATAGCTGTTGCAACTCTGAGTATTTCTTTACTTGTTAGGGTATGCGTTAGATTGTCCATAACCGTAACATATTTGTAAAAGTCCCCATAACAGACGAGACTGTTTATTTGTAATGCACGATAATTAGTTGAGTCATGGTGACTCTCTCGACCTACATAACAAATTCCCTGTTTCTCACCGAGATTGTTGATGCGCCAGGATGACTACGTAGTTATATTTATTTCACTCCAGTTAGGGTTACTGGTTAGACAGAAGTATATTCTGACACAGCTGATTATTTAAAAAAATCCTTTAAACGTTGGCGACGATTATTAAATTTATTACTAGAGCTCTAGCAGTAAATATTTCAATCTATAGTGAATAAAAAAAAGTTATATTTACTTATAAATATGTGGTTTAATTTTGACGCTATAAATATAAAACATCGTTACGGTAAGCTGTTTGTTCATGGAATGGTATCGATATTCCAACACTTTTGTATGTTGACCCATTAATGTATATCGCATCTTTTCCTGTATTATGTTGCTTCCTGTTCTTGAAGTTATTGAACTATAAATGAAACGTGTTACTACACACCTTCATCCACCCTCATGACTAGCTAATACTTAATATTGAGGACATGGTGGTTGTTGAACAGTGTCCTTCTATCATGAAAAATAAAGTATTTAATTCCCTTATAAACATCACTGTTTTTTTTTAATACAGATATTATTAAAACTTGAACTCGTATTTCATTAACTTACTGATTCTCGACTTGAAAGTTAAAGTATCCCACGCTATTACTACAGTGTTTGTTATAATTATTGTGTTTTAGAACTTGTGTATAAAGTTAGAATCAAATAACATTCAACGTTAAAATTGTACACAATTAAAAACATTTAATTTATTTTACCTATCTCTATGGGCTTCAAAAAGTTAACGACTCTACATGTTACAACGTCATCATCAGGAGTGAATTGCAAGACAATGCTAGAGTATTTATAACTTTTTAGTAGGTCATATGACCTGTATGCCATTTTACATAAATTCACGCTAAACCATTCAAAGGAGATTAGTCCACATTCTTGCAGAAATATTCGCCATACTTTCATCTCTGTTTAATACTACATGATCTTTTTTATGTTTTATTATTTCTAACGATTCACGAATATTATTACTACTTATACTTTTAAGTTGAGCTAATATTACAGTTTTTCCACATATTATTGTGTGTTGTGTTACCTGTACAT